CTCTTTGATGCGCTCAATACTTTCTAAGAGCTTCGCGTGTATTGAGTGACCTAATCCTCACAACACTATAAGATAGTAGTTACGTTATTTTTCCCATTTTAGAGAGGGGGAAACTGAGGCATAGAGGAGTAATTTGCCAGTGTCATTCAGTGAGAAAGGTGGGGAGCTGGGATTTGGACTCAGGCGGTCAGACTCCAGATTCCAGACCACAGGGGCTGTGCTCTTTTTTTTTTTTTTTTTTTTTTCCCCCTAAAGCCCCAGGCGATAGTTGTAAGTCATAGTTGCACGTTCTTCCAGTTGCTGTATGTGGGACGCGGCCCCAGCATGGCCGGAGAAGCAGTGCGTCCGTGCGCGCCCAGGATCCGAACCCCGGCCGCCTGCATCGGAGCGCACGCACTTAACCACTAAGCCACAGGGCCGGCCCAGGGGCTGTGCTCTTAATCATACTTTTCCCTCTGTCTCTGTGGAATTGCCAATGCTTTTGATGCAAATAGACTCTTTCTCAGGAGTTCAAAGAGGTGCTGTTTTTGCATTAAGGCTGAGAGAGGGCAAAAACAGAGGCTGTGCGGTATGCAGGGACAGCTAACACCTAGGTACACGTAGGTATTTCGAAAAAAATGAACTGTGAGTCAACACTTCAGGCCTTTAGTTACAAAAGCATGATGCCAGCGTACACAAATATGAGTCAACGGGCCCGGCTGTGATGACTGTCTCACTCTACTCAAAATTCTTCAGACCCTTGGTATGTGTGCAATATCGGATTCCACAAAGCTGAGCAAGGAGGAATGAAAGGAAAGGGTTTAAAGGAGAGCCACAAATAAGAATCTACAGGTTGGAAAAACACTTGAACCTGTATAGAGCCTGAATATATTGGGGAAAAAATACCATATATGGGGTTCTAGAGACTACATACATAATGGTAAGAGCAGATGTTCTACAGCCGGACTGCCTGGGTTCACAGTCACTGCTTCACCACTTTTTACTTGGGTATTCTTGAGCGTCACTTTACCTTTCTGTGCTTCAGTTTCCTGTCTATTAAATTTGGATAACAGTACCACACACAGGGTCACTGTGAGCATTATATCAGCTAATACATGTAAAGTGTTTGAAACAGTGTTTGGAGCATTAATAAGCACTCAACAAATAGCTAACAAAAAATAGAAAAGGGTGAGGGACAACTTAATACATACTCAAATTTAAAGATCTTTATTAGAGGATCTTATAAAGAGAAAATAAGACGAAAACAAAATATTCTCGTTGTAGACAAAATAAGAGGAAGTCCATCTAAACTACGAAAGATTGAGAGTAAAAAAAAGTTTGCCCCAAGAAAGGCACACAACTACCACGGGTGAATGTTCTCTGTAGAGGGCTGTGCAGCATGGAGTAGATGCTCTGTTTTTTTTTTTTTAGATTCTCTTCTTGAGTTTAGCCTAAGAATGGTGCTCTCTAAAAGTAGGAAAACAAACCTTAAAAAATCAAGTTTGAATCTAGGGTACATGGTCACCTACCACCTCAGTTGCCCAAGAAACAAACTGAAAACTAAAGAAAGCTCAATGTTCTTTTGAGGGACTTGTAACAAATTAATAATAGCCATTATATATTAAAATGGTACCTGAAGTTTTGATACCTCTCCCCTTTTTTCAGACATAGAAAACATAGAAGCAATGGGAAGAAATCAGAACACATTTGTAGCAAAGCTACAAAAAGGACTTGCTCAGGTCAAATTTATCTAGAGAGAGCCAAGACCAGGACCCAGATTTTAATACTTTAATATTGTTTCCATTACCTTTAATTTCTCTTCATTGATTTTTTTTAAAGCCAAAATGAAATGAACTAACCAGTATAGCATCATGTTTTATAAAGGTCTTTATAAATTTGCAGATATATTCAGTTGTCCCTTAACCATATCTGCCCACTCCTTGGCTTGACTTCAGGAGCCTGCCCTACCCCATCCCCACCCCATGGTCCCTATTAAAGGAGTGACCTAGGCAGCTATGTTTAATCATATATTCTTTTCAGGGATCATCCACACACTGGATTGAGCCAATGAGGTTCACCACCTTGGTGTGTTTAAGTCACAAAAGGGAAGTTGCTAAGGCATAATAGCAAGCCATAAGTAGAGAGGCAGAGAGAATGGCTGCTGAGGTCTCCATGCAGAACAGCCTTCACAGTTCCCATATTTTCCTGTCTTGGAGTCTGAGATGTATATTCTTAGAACACCCACCCCACCTCTCCTTTTCTCTTTTGCTGGTTAGACAGGGTTTTTATTTCCAATCAAACAATTCCTGACTAAACATGTGACTATCTCTACTTTAAATTGTTAAAAAAGTCAACATAAAGACATGCAGAGATAAGAATTTAGTCTACCACTGCATGCTTAGTATTTGGGGAGAGGAGATACATGAGCTAAATAGAATGAAGAGGTATTTTTAGTAGTACAGCACTTTGAGGAGTCCTCTATGAGGTATTTTCTCCGTAACATTTCCATTACCAAACCATGTCATTTCTACTTCTCAAATATTTTTCTTATCCATCTTCTCTCCACACCCATCGCCAGCTCTTATCTGAACTATAATACCCTCCTAGGCAATATGAAAAGATGTTAAGGAAACTTGGTAGCTCTTTTAAGAAAACTCAAATTCTTGAGCGTCACTTTACTTTTCTGTGCTTCAGTTTCCTGTCTATTAAATTAAGTTTCCTATTTATTAAATCTCACTGTGTAAAGACCTCATTGCCTCCCAGTTTTGTCTCTTAACATTCACCTTCTCCTTGAGGACCTCTCACTAATGATCCTTGCTTGCACCAGAAAAGGTTCCGTTTCCCTTGCACAACTGGGATTGGTCCTCTTCCTCTTTCCTTAAGTTACTCACAGCACTACTGAACCCAGACTAAAAGTTATACAAAGCTTTATGAGTAACAGAAAAAACAAATAAAACACTGAGCAAGATGCAATTTACCTAGTTAACTAGGCAGGGCTTGCAATTTTTATTCAACAAATATTTGAGCACTCTATGTGATTACCACTGTGCATATATTGATGACACTCTCCTGCTCACAAGAGGCATATGGTAGCGGGAGTGGGCTAACTGCTGTGTTGGGGTAAGAGAGGATGAACGAGAGCATAAAGAAGGGACACCTAAACCAGTGTTTGGGGGAAGGGAATTAGGGGAGGTCCCAGTGAAGTTCTGCCTATAAAACTAATAAGGCCTTTAAGAACAAGTAAGAATTAGCAGAGAATGAAAACCGGGGAAGGGAGAGAGCAGGAAATGAGGAAGTATTCCAGAAAAGTCCAAGAATGTGCAAAAGACAAGAGTACAGTATGTAGAATGGGAGGGGTTTCTCCCAGTTTCCGCTCAGGTGACAGGCTATAATTTTCCCTACCATCCAGAAGAAGCTACCAGCAAACCAGAACTTCTCTGAATCCAGGCCAAAGCGAGAGAGATATTCAAGGCAGGGGTTTCCTCTTTTTCTAGTTGATGACAACCTTCCCAGTTTATTTTCCCAGACTCAAAACTCACATCTTCATCCCAGGTGGTTAATGCCAGTAGAATCCTCATACCATAGAATTTTACTCTATGACCTTGGTAAGGACAATATAGCAGAATAGTCCGTTATCTTTGTGCATTCAATGAGAAATGCTTCCTTGCACTGCCAACGTCAAGGTCATTTTCTGAAGACCTAAGGTCACTGGAAACTGGGTTTTACATCATTACTTTAGGCATAACTAAGGGTATGAACTATGCAAACTCTAAGTTACAGTTCTCTTCATAGAATGAAAATGAAGTTTACTTCCAATCTTTGTTTTGAGGATTGGAGGGTTAGGAAACTTCCTTAAAGATAAGAAAGTCATTTAAAAAAGGAAGCAAATCAAGTTTCTAGAAATTCTAAGACCAGTACTGCACTGTGGTTTTCCCTGGACTGATGCTCTCATCCAAAGTCACAATGTGCCTAATTTCTAGAGACCCTAGTTCCTATTTTCAAGCTGATGACTTATTAAATTTTCCCTTCCAAAGGATTATAACAACATGAACAGAAAATAGAATGTCTTAGGCAGCAATGATCTCACATACAGATGCTCTTGGGCATGCATTTTTTTTTAATTATTTTTTTCCCCCAAAGCCCCAGTAGATAGTTGTATGTCATAGCTGCACATCCTTCTAGTTGGTGTATGTGGGATGCAGCCTCAGCATGGCCGCAGAAGCAGTGCGTCGGTGCGGGCCTGGGATCCAAACCTGGGCCGCCAGTAGCAGAGCCCGCGCACTTAACCGTTAAGCCACGGGGCCGGCCCTGAGCATGCATTCTTAATGGGGGCAAAAAGTTCTTGGGGGGCATAAAAATCTTAACTCTTCATATGTATAAAGCACAAAAATATATAGTCTATAAATAGATATACAGGATATGTGTGGTATTAAAATTTCATAGGGGTAGACAATTAGAAAAAAATATGTATCTAAAAAGGTTCTTCAGCAGGGCTGGGCTGGTGGCATAGTGGTTAAGTTCGCACACGCTTCGGCGGCCCAGGGTTCACAGGTTCGGATCCCAGGCACGTACCTATGCACTGCTCATCAAGTCATGCTGTGGCAAGTATCCCACATAAAAGAGGAAGATGGGCACAGATGTTAGCCCAGGGCCAGTCTTCCTCACCAAAAAGAGGAGGATTGGCAACAGATGTTAGCTCAGGGCTAGTCTTCTTCACCAAAAAAAAAAAAAGGTTCTTTAGGGAAATGAGAATGAAAAATTTGAGAAACAGTGCTGGAGAGTCTTTTGCCAAATTGGGAATACCTAAATTAATTCCATTTTAGTGATAATTCAAAATCCCTGGATGAAACAGAAAATCATGGCAATTATATTTCTAACCAATGTATCTGTGAATGGCTCCCATTCTTTGACCTTTGTTTCTCCTAGCAGAAGTCACTAAAATTGTTCCAGTGTAAGGAAAATTCTAGGATTAATTAAAAAAAAAGTTTATGAATTATTAAGTTTACAACACATACAGAAAATACAAACCAAGAAAGTAAATTTATTTAAATTACTAAAATAGCTTTTAAAGTCATTTACAGATCAGCTGCTACAATTATTTTTCTTGAAAGATATAAGTAACATTAATTACTTTAAAATTATTTTGGTCAGTGAAACATTTAATAAAAACATTTGCTTCTCCATATAATATATATGTATAAAATAAGCCTTCTTAAAAACTTTTGTTTTAGAATCCTCTATAAATCAGATGACCTGACTTTTGACGGTCAGGAAGGAATTACAATAAGGGGTCTAAATTTATGAATACTGGTAGTCCTAGTGGGAAGAAACTAGACCAGACTCTACTACCAGTCATGGGACCCTCAAAAGGTATATGATGAAGCCAATGACTCGCTCTAGTACTCTAAAAACAGTATTTTCATTTAAAGGTTTGTAGACAATAAAAAAACAAGGTGGATCTAGAATTTTAAGATTCTAAGAAACCAAAGCAGTTGATAGATAAGCAAGCTGTTATAGATGCAAAGTTACAACTGAAATACTATAATAGTAATGTACAGTAGTACATTTTAACATTCTTCATATAAGGTATAAAGTTTACTTTCTTTTTGGCTTGAGGCACTCAATAAAATCTATCAGGTACATAGTAAATCTTCACATTTGTTATAAGGGCGCCATTCAAGGACTTAGACTACTACAAGTGGACACGCAGAAAATTAAATCCTTCTTCAATAGTGCAAGAAAGCTGGTTAACAAATGGTTTACCAATTCCCGAAATTATATATCTTAACTCAAACAATAGCTTCAGGATATGTCCAAAATAAACTGCTCTGAATTTATCTACCCTTAAGAGTCAAATGGACAAATATACAAAACTTCATGATATACATGCTTCAAAATCCTTAGGAGAACCAAAAATTTCTTAAAGGGGAAAAAAAAACATGTGAAAAACAAATCCCAAGAGAATTCACTGAGAATGGAGTTCATATAACTAAGTTTGACTAAGTCTCAGTGGCTTAATTTAACATTTCATCTTGCAGACTTTTTTCTTCCCCTTTCCTTCCCCATTCCAAAATTTCTCTCTTTTCCCTTGCTTCCTCCTCCTGCCTTCCAAAAACAAAGGAAAAAAAATCCAAAAACACACTCAGATGACCTTTTATTACTTTCGTTCCTATAAGCAGAAGCTGACTAAGGAACTCACACCTAAATGATATAAAAGAGAACAAAATGGGAAAACCCACCGGTTGCATTTAGGGAGCTGTCCTACTAATGACTCAACAAACTCGGTGAAAAATCTAAGTTAAAAAACTGGGAAGATTCATAGGAAGAGACCTACTCCCTCCCACTGGTCATATCATAGCAATGATTCAGCACAGAATCTAAATAGATCCTCTATGGGACTGCATATAATTCATAGTCCTCAGACACCATTAACACAGATCTCATGGAAATAGAGAAATGATTCTCTCAAGTAACAGATTAGGTTGAATATATGATTTAGATGTTCCATGTTTACATAAGAACTTAACTTCCTTTAAAAAGAAACCAGTTCTTTCAAAAAGAGCTCTGAATCCGGTCTCTGGTTAGAAAGTCTGAAAAATTCTCAGAACTTGAGACATGATTTTCTCTTGTATCATCCCTTATAAGCAGTTGCCCCTTTCCAGGGCATTTTCAGGCTGCACAGGCAGGACTAAGTGAGAAATACGGCTCCAGAGCCCACTCAATTTGTCTGGGTCCATATGTTTATAGGAGTTGGGTGTGTCCGAGTTGGTGAACTTGACTTTGAGGAAATCCCTCACTTTTTCTTCAATTTCCTTTAGGCCTAGACTGGTTCCAAGTGTCTCCTCCTCCAACAACACAGTCAGGACTAAGGCTACATCTTTGAAGGCTGCATTTTCATGATCACAATACTTATAGAAGATCAAAGTGGAGCCTGCAGGCAGTGACTCGAAGCGGTGTACCACAGCTGCATTCTGGCCATTTCTGAATCCATCGCTCAGTTCCCGATCTACCTCTAGTTTGACAGCATCGCTGTCTCGAGTAGCTTTGTCTGCCCCATCAATCCGGATGGCACGGACACTACGGAAGGAAGAATAGGCATCAGCGATCTGTTCACTCAGACACCTGAGTGCTTCTTCAGCATCTCGGGCAGCAGTGAGCAGCAAGATAGCAGGCTGAGGCCGAGGTTGGGAACTATTAAGATGTTTTTCCAGGAATGTTAGGCTCCTTTTCCATAGCTTCTCATCTTGACCTTGGTACTTATCCATAAGTTGTTTCATCTGGTTCTGGAACTCCTGAACAGCAGTGGTTTCTACCTCAGGAGTACGAGTGAACCAAAAGCTCCCAGTGGCGACAGCAGCTATCAGAACAAGTGGCAAATACAACTTCATCTTGACAAAAGGTGCATTTTTGGGTTGTCCAGTGACTTCTGCTCAGGAAAAAAAAAATGACAGATACAAATATTATTTTCTTAGATTCAAGGGCAAGTGACTTTTAAAATCAATATTAATCTTTATAAACATTAGATAAAAGAGAAAGAAATTTAAAAAAGGGAGCTGATAATTTACTTTCTTAAAGATATAATTTCTCACGTTTTCAAGAAAATCTCACCCAGAGGTTTTAAAGTTATGTGTATAAGTATGCATACGTCTCTTCAATATCAAAATGATAAAAAGTCTCAGAGGAAAACGTAGAATTTAAATATATGAAATAGCATAAGCAAGTCAAAAATAATATAATTTATAAAATTTATTTCTAAATTAAAAAAATTTATTTAAAAATTTATAAAATTTATTACTACCTGCTAATATTTGGGAGGTAAACAATATTAAAAGATACTTAAAATATTTTTTAATTTAGAAACTCAGAGTTTACTTGGCTAGTTATCCAAGGTGGAATGTGTTTAAGGCATATAAAGGAATAAAGAAAAAGATGTACTATAAGTGAACATCTACCATATATGATAATAGCTAGCTGTCCTTTTAATTGCACTGATGCCTATCTTTTGTGGCATGCAAGTTAACACTGGTAGAATTTAGTCTGCAACTCATCTCTAATTATTATTGGCAATAATTATATCAATTTACTTTTATCTAGTGCTTTTCAGTTTATAAAGCACTTTCTCATATACTACTTCATTTAATCATTTAATATGTTAGCAACAGTAGTACTTCCACACCTTCTATTTATTGACTAACTGCTTTTGGATGATAATTGTACTACGGACCTTTTAGAGCAACAGTTCTCAAAGTGTGGTTGGTGGGGTACCTCGAGATCCTTTCAAGGGGAAGGTTATCCTTGAGGTTAAAGCTATTCTCATAGCACCAAGACATTATTTGACTTTTTCCACCACATTGACATTTGCATTGATGGTGCAAAAAGCCATGGTGGGAAAATGACTGATACTTTAGCATGAATCACAGGGCAGTGGCACCAAAATGTACTAGTACAGTCTTTGTATTCTTCATGGCCATTCATTCAAGGTTATCAGTTTCACTTAAGAATGTCTTTCATGAAGCAGTTAAAATTATTTATTTTATTAAAACTCAACCTTTGAGTATAAATCTTAATAGCCTATGTGAAGAAATGGAAAGTACACATAAAGCACTTCTGCTGCATAGCATAGTACAGTGGTTGTCTCCAGGAAAAGAACTTTGTGCAACTGAGTTGTAAGATGAACTAGTGCTTTTTTCATGGAATTTTTACTTGAAAGAACAAGTGACAAACTGTGGTTAGTCAGACTTGAATATGTGGCAGACATTTTTTTGAAAATGAACAAAGTGAGCCTGTTGCTTCTGGGAAAACAACTGACAATATTTGTTACCAATTATAAAATTCAAGATTTCAAGTGAAAATTAGGATTGTAGAAATATTTTATCTGCCACCATGAACTTGACAGCTCCCAATACTTAAAGACTTTTTTGTCTTGAGATTGGTGGTGATATTAACAAATGTGATCTTTTTATATTGTGTTATAAAATGTCTCAACATATGGAAGATTTACATAACTTTGTGAACCAATATTTTCCAAATGACCAGCCTATGACATTCCATTCAAAGTACAAGACCAATGGATTTTAAAGTAATAGAATACAAGTTCATTAATATGATTTCGTATTTCACATTTCAAATAACATTTAGAAACTACCACTTGTTGAGTCTGAGTTTTAGAGAGTATCAGAAGAGAATATCCACAATTATCTGAAGACAATTAAAATCCTACATATCTGTATAAAGCTGGATTTTCTGCAGATACTTGAACCAAAACAATACACTGTAACAGACCAATGCAGAAGCAGATATGAGAATCCAGCTCCATTTTATTAAGCCAGACATTAAAGAGATTAGAAAAAATATAAAGCAATTTGTCGCTCTTCTTACTAAATTATTTAAAAATAAATTTATAAATCTTTTTAAAAATCTTCCCTTTTAATTTCAAGGTAAATATGGACAGGTATAGCCCATATTAAAAACAAAGCTCTTTGGGCCGGCCCCGTGGCTTAGTGGTTAAGTGCGCATGCCCTGCTGCTGGTGGCCCGGGGTTCAGATCCTGGGCGCGCACCGACGCACCGCTTGTCTGGCCATGCTGAGGCGGCGTCCCACATACAGCAACTAGAAGGATGTGCAACTATGACATGCAACTATTTACTGGGGCTTTAGGGGAAAAAAAAAAGGAGGAGGATTGGCAATAGATGTTAGCTCAGAACTGGTCTTCCTCAGCAAAAAGAGGAGGATTAGCACAGATGTTAGCTCAGGGCTGATCTTCCTCACAAAAAATAAATAAATAAAAAAAAATATAAAGCTCTTTGGGGTACTTATTAATTTTGCTGGTGGAAAGTGGTACTGAGACCAAAAAGTCTGAGAATCTGTTATTTTCTTGGTACTCATTCAGGATAATAAACTGGCTTAGAGAATTAAAGAAATTTGCCCCAAGGCAATACAGAAGGTAAGTGATCCAATATAATTCAAATACAGGTCTGTGGACTCTAAAACCCATGGTAATCCCATTATGTCATTCTATGTGCTGTCTTTCTTTTGAGTAAGCTAGTCTTTTTGACTAGCAAATCACTCAGTTGATTTCAGTAGCTTTACTTATTAACTTTTACTTTTGGCCTTATGGACAATAACGTGAAGGAGAAAAACCAGATGTTGTTTCATATAGTTTGTCCTTAAAGAATTTCACTGCTAGTAAGATATCTACTTTTTCCTCTGAAGTGCTTAAAATACAATTCTTCACATAGCATTAAGTTATTTTGCTATCAAAAAATTTAAAAACAATTATGGATCACCAATATAAAGTGAGTTTAAACACTCACTTTATAAGACTGAATAGACAAACTTACGTTGGCTGGAGGTTGATGGAGACCAGTTTCCAAGCTCTGATTTCCGATTGCTGTCATCTAAGGATAGGAGTAATAAAGACTATCAATTTATGTTTCATAATTTAAGTATTTCCAATAGAGAAAGAAAACACAAATTCCACCAGGAGAAAATAAGGCAGAGATTAGCCAAAAACAGAAGAAAAAGCAGAACATCTGAGTGCCCATTAGACTGACAGTTCCTTGAGACACAAGACCTATTTCTTTCATAATTATTCGCGGCATGTAGTGGTCAAGTACAAAGCATGCTTAGTACGTTAGTTTTGTGAGAAAGCTTTGAAGTATTTGACCCAAATTACTTAATGGGAGTGGTGAAACTTGGGGACAAATAAGAAGATAAAGAAAATAAGCACAAGTATAATAAAAGGTAAAAGGAAACATATCATATACCATCTGAAAAACTGCCATATATTGAACTCCTGCCTGGTGATGATGCTGTAAAGAGGGGAAAAAGGACAAAATATGGATTACGGATTCCTGAGCTATCTAGATAAGGGGTTTAACATAAAACTCAATCTATTTTTTTAATTAATGTCTTAATAGTTTATAACATGGTGAAATTTCAGTTGTACATTATTCTTTGTCAGTCACCATATAAATGCCCTCCCTTCACCCCTTGTGCCCACCCGTAAACCCCCTTGTCCCTGGTAACCACCGAACAGTTCTCTCCGTCCTGGTGTTTGTCTTTCTCTCCTTGGCTTATTTCGCTTAACATAATACGCTCCAAGTCCATCCATGTTGTTGCAAAAGGGACAATTTTGTCTTTTTTAATGGCTGAGTAGTATTCCATTGTATATATATACCACATCTTTATCCACTCATCAGTCGAGGGACACGGGTTGCTTCCACTTCTTGGCTATAGTGATTAATGCTGCAATGAACACAGGGGTGCATAAGTCTCTTTGGATTGTTGATTTCAGGTTCGTTGGATACATACCCAATAGTGGATAGCTGGATCATAAGGTATTTCTAATTTTAATTTTTTGAGGAATCTCCATACTGTTTTCCATAGAGGTTGCACCAGTTTGCACTCCCACCAGCAGTGAATCAGGGTTCCCGTTTCTCCATAACCTCTTCAACATGTGTTGTTTTTGGTCTTGGTGATTATAGCCATTCTAACGGGTGTAAAGTGATATCTTAGTGTAGTTTTGATTTGCATTTCCCTGATGATTAGTAGTGTTGAACATCTTTTCATATGCCTCCTGGCCATCTGCATATCTTCCTTGGGAAATTATCTGTTCACATCCTCTGCCCATTTTTTGATCGGGTTGTTTTGTTTTTTTGTTGTTCAGTTGTGTGAGTTCTTTATATATTATGGAGATTAACCCCTTGTCAGATATATGATTTGCAAATATCTTCTACCAGCTGGTGGGTTGTCTATTCATTTTGATCCTGGTTTCACTTGTCTTGTAGAAGCTCTTTAACCTGATGAAGTCCCACTTGTTTATTTTTTCTTTTGTTTCCCTTGTCTGAGTAGACATGGAATCTGAAGAGATCCCTTTATGACCAATGTCAAAGAGTGTACTGCCTATATTTTCTTCCAGGAGTTTTATAGTTTCAGGTATCACCTTCAGGTCTTTGATCCATTTTGAGTTAATTTTTGTGTATGGCGAAAGAAGATGGTCTACTTTCATTCTTTTGCATGTGGCTGTCCCGTTTTCCCAACACCATTTATTGAAGAGACTTTCTTTTCTTCATTGTATGTTCTTAGCTCCTTTGTCAAAGATTAGCTATTGTAGATGTGTGGTTTTATTTCTGGGCTCTCAATTCTGTTCCATTGATCTGTGTGCCTGTTTTGTACTAGTACCATGCTGTTTTGATTACTATCGCTTTGTAGTATGTTTTGAAGTGAGGGATTGTGATGCCTCCAGCTTTGTCCTCTTTTCTCAGGATTGCTTTGGCTGTTAAGGGTCTTTTGTTGCCCCATATGAACTTTAGTATTCTTTGTTCTATTTCCGTGAAGAATGTCATTGGGATTCTGATTGGGATTGCATTGAATCTGTAGATTGCTTTAGGTATTACGGACATTTTAACTATGTTTATTCTTCCAATCCATGTGCATAGAGTATCTTTCCATTTCTTTATGCCATCATTGATTTCTTTCAATAATGTCTTATAGTTTTCATTGTATAGGTCTTTCACCTCCTCGATTAAATTTATTCCTAGATATTTTATTCTTCTTGTTGCGATTGTAAAATGGGATTATCTTTTTGAGTTCTCTTTCTGTTAGTTCGGTATTAGCACGTGGAAATGCAACTGATTTTTGTAAGCTGATTTTGTACCCTGCAACTTTGCTGTAGCTGTTGATTATTTCTAATAGTTTTCTGATGGATTCTTTAGGGTTTTCTATATATAGAATCATGTCGTCTGCAAATATGAGTTTCACTTCTTCACTGCCTATTTGGATTCCTTTTATTTCTTTTTCTTGCCTAATTGCTGTAGCCAAGATCTTCAGTACTGTCTTGAATAAGAGTGGCAAGAGTGGGCACCCTTGTCTTGTTCCTGTTCTCAGAGGAATGGCTTTCAGTTTTTCCCCATTGAGTATGATGTTGGCTGTGGGTTTGTCATATATGGCCTTTATTATGTTGAGGTGCTTTCCTTCTATACCCATTTTGCTGAGAGTTTTTATCATAAATGGATGCTGGATCTTGTCAAATGCCTTCTCTGCATCTATTGAGATGGTTTTTACTCCTCATTTTGTTAACGTGGTATATCACGTTGACTGATTTGTGGATGTTGAACCATCCTTGTGTCCCTGGTATAAATCCCACTTGGTCATGGCGTATGACCTTTTTAACATATTGCTGTATTCAGTCTGCCAACATTTTGGTGATGATTTTTGCATCTATATTCATCAGCGATATTGGCCTGTAGTTTGTCTTCTTTGTATTGTCCTTGTCTGGCTTTGGTATCAGGGTGATGTTGGCATTGTAGAATGTGTCAGCAAGTGTTCCATCTTCTTCAATTTTTTGGAATAGTTTGAAGAGGACAGGTACTAAATCTTCTTTGAATGTTTGGTGAAATTCATTCAATTTTATCAAAGAAGCCATCTGGTCCTGGACTTTTATTTTTTGGAGAGGGTTTCAATTTCTTTACTTGTGAGTGGTCTATTCAGATTCTCTATTTCTTCTTGGTTCAGTTTTGGGAGGTTGTGTGAGTCTAAGAATTTATCCATTTCTTCTAGATTGTCCAATTTGTT